TAACAGGAAGCCAAAACAGGAGAAATATGCTCTCTCTTTCAAGTCCCTGTCAGGACTCTTGCTGCAGCATTTTGGATCAGCTGAAAATGATTTTGTTATTCAGGTACGTTTGTGCCATTATAAAGCGTAAAAACTTAAGAAAACTTGATGGTGGAGAGAAGAAGCCAGTTTTTTCCTGCTCTTCCATCATCTCTTGAACCAGAAAGCCAACCATACAAGCAGATACAGATTATGATGTAAATATCATGTTGCTGTGACGTCAGACTGGCAGCCCGTCCTGGATGTACCCCGCCTCTCACACGACGACAGCTGGGATAGGCTCCAGCCTCCTGGCGGCCCTGAATTGAATAAGCAGAAGAAAATGAATGGATATAATATTGGAGATTATATAATGAACTTGGAACAGAGCGCTCTGGCTCTTGCTGCAGTGGCGTTCTGAGATATGACAATCAGATAATCAGCAAAAAGTAAACACAAAGCAATTTCCACGACCTCATCTCCAGCTAAAGGAGTTACCAGCCTCTGATAAGGATAATCAGAGGCTGGTAACATGGTAAAAGTCATGATAATGACTTTTATTTTTGGACACTGGAAATGGCAACTAAAAACATGCCAATAAAGGTAAATAATTCACAGCAAAATGTCAGAAGATGGCAGCATGAGCTGATTATTATGGACCAAAATGCTGGAATAAACAGGTGTTATGGATTTAAAGGGAAACTCGAAGCAGGAAGTTACACAGCTCGGGGTTCGCACAGTTATGAGGACGATCTAACAATCAACAGGGGTAAACAGAGACAATATATGCACAGGTCAGCTGGAGAGAGCAGACGAAATGAGACAGGGGGAGTAAATTTAACATTAAACTAAAAACAAAAAACATTTTTTCATCTTTTCCCAGGATCTGCAGCTATGGGAAATAAATTTCTCATAAATAATACATTTAAGTCATGGCCCTTTAATACTCTTTGTTTTCAGCTCTGCAAGTTATTTCCCTCATTTCTGATATTCCTTTTGAAGGGTTCTTTCCACTTTCCAGTTCCTGATTATTAGCTTCAGTTCTGGTGTTTAAGCATTTGAAAGGCACTGGTCTGTTTCGTGCTTTAACTCACCAAACTGCTTGTTGCCTAAGCGCTAAAATTCAAAACAGCTCAGACACTAAAAATGTAGTTTGCCTTTGTGTCACTATATTCATTTCTGCATCAACACTTAGAAAACATAACATTTTAAATGTAAAATCAGAGGCTTAAAATTTTAACAACATGGTCATTTGAACACTTCTGTGCAAAAGTCTTGATCCACCATCTATTTCTTTATATTTTGTTTCCAAACAGCAGCACTGTCTTGTAATTTGTTTTAAAAAAAACTGATGTAAAACAAAAGAAAAAAGCATCTAACGGGTGATGACCTGGTGTTGTGTTTACACAGAAAAGACCACTTTGTAAAGAAGCAATTTTGCTATTAGCAGCCCGCCACAAAACACATCACGTGTTCCTATTTTTTAGCTACATTTACAAAAAATGGCAACCGTAACACAGTTTGACAGACATAGAAATAAAATAGTATTTTTTTCTGCACCAGTAAGGTGATTCCAAACATGGTATTAACTGAAAACTCAAAAAATCTCAGCACAGTGTGCGTCCTCGTCCAACATAGCAGGACTAAAGAAATGAACAATTTCTAAAAGTCATGTCCTTAAGAAATAAGAAAACATCCAGAAAAGACCTGGGACAGGACCAGAGAGATGCAGCTGCCCCATCAGTTGATCCATCCACTCTTTACTGAATCATCATCAGAAAAGGATTCAGTGGGATGGCTGGCCGCTCTGGAAACAGAAAAGAAAGTCTGGAGATGCCAAATTACACAAGAACAGAACTGCAAACAAGGGAAAATGCATCTCATGTGGAGTAATACATCCAACTGTGAAATCTGGGGTTTAAATAATCATCAATATGCGTCATCCAACAGTATTTCCATCTCTTTTTGCACACTGTGAAGGGGCGTGGTCTGCAGTGCAGCTGCAGGGGAGGCGGACGCACCTGAGCGGCGTGCGCAATCACGCCTCGCCGGTCGGCTTAAGGTCTGTGCTGGGTTCTGCTGCAGTTATTGTTGTTGATGTGTGTGTGGGGGCGTGTGGAAGCTGCAGCCAGTGTGTGGAAACGGCAACCGTAATAATAAAGAATGCTGGAAAGCACGAATGTGTGGACGTGTCCTGTCGTGGGTTTGTTACACGCATTTCAGTAAATCATAGGAA